TTATTTTAAGCATCTTAGAACACCATGCAAATACCATACGAAAACCTAGTAAGCAAAAAGCACCATGGTACGACCATCCCTGTACCACGGTGCTGCCACACTAAGTATCAATAGAAAAAAATAATCATTACCTCTGTAAGAAAGTGATTTGCAATGGTTTTCCGATACTGTACCATGATACTACTATGTTTTATTGCCAGTGCTGCTTTATTTCTTTACATATATCGGAGTACCATATCAAATACACCATGGTATTATTTCCGTCACTGTGCCATAGTACTCCTACACTCCTTTCCAGTAAGTACTAATAAAAAACAATCATGACCTCAGCAAAAATTCCTTACATACATTAAATTACCATGCAAATACAAAGGCACATGGACATGGTAATCCTTTCAAAGTACCATGGTAATACCATCACTGCACCATAGTACCTGACTTTCTTGTATTAAACAACTGTGACCTCAGCAAAAATAAATAGATAAAACATTTACAGTGTTTCTGGATACTGTGCCATGGTACTACCATATTTATTATATCAATCATACTATGATATTTCCTTACATTTATTGGAGTACAATGCAAATACCATGGTACACACGTTTAAATAATTCAGTACCACACACACACACGCGCGCGCGCATTCATACATCTCTCTCTCTCTCTCTATATATATATATATATAATATACTATCAATACAAAGCAATCATGACTTCAGCACAATTTACAATGGTTTCCGAATACTGTACCATGGTACTATTGAAAGTACCGTGGTATTTCTTTACATGCATTGAAGTAACATGCAAGTGCCATTGTATTTCAGAACCATTAAAACCCAGAACCACAGTATTACGATGCCATCACTGTAGGCTGCCACCTCAGTACTTTTAACAACGCTCGTTCTAGTATAAAACAAACAATTAAAGCAATTCTTTCAGGCATGAGAGTAACATCGCGAATGTTGAATGTTGAATAATGAATGTTGTGCAGGTGACAGAAACGCACCTGTGTTTCCTCGCGAGCGCCGAGCTGAGGAACCCATCGCTCCGCGCGCAGGAACTGTTCAGATCGGTTCGGTTCGGTTCTACTGTCTGTCGTGTCTCCTCTCGAAGTGTCGGTTCCTCCTGAAGAAGAGCAGAAGTCAATCACATCACTCCTCGAGGAAACGAGCGGAGCTGCTGCTTCTCCACACGCGCTGAACGCGAGACTGACGATCACAGCGCGGAGTTCACTGACTGTGTGTGTGTGTGTGTGTGTGTGTGAGTGAGAGTGAGTGAGTGAGTGAGTGAGTGTGTGTGTGTGTGTGTGTGTGTGTGTG